TGTTGGCCAGGGTGAACCAAGGGACTCCCAAGCAGCAATCCAGCATAGAACTGAGAAAATGGACTGCAGACCCTAATCTTGTCTAAAGTAATATTGACAACTGATTGCTGCTAGATGAGGAACAGGTGACCTTCCTAAAACAAAGACCTCTAGATAGGCTGACTAGATTGACCAGATGGACAAGTAGTGGGGAAAGGCTGGGGGTGCCGACAACACAACAGACGGTAGCAGGGATATCAGAGTATAAGGGCTCTAGTCGGGGGAGGGAGGCTATGGGAAGGTGTCATCTGGGAAGTGGGTGTATAATTGAGTAAGATGGTTTGGGATATTCTGTTAAATACACACACGCACAAAAAAAAATCAAATTTTTTAAAATGTATTATATTTGAGGAGGAAGCATGGAAATTTACATCATGCTAATTAGTAGAGCTGATAAACAATACCATTGAAATCTACCCGATGACTTTATAGACATACACAGGCGCCAAGGATCCAAGTGCAACTGATTATGACTAGTAATAATCAGATACATACAGATTAGAGATGCAAGCTCCAACATCTCAATGTTAGTAGCAAAAACAATGAGTCTCTCCACATGGAACAATATATTCCAAAATGAAATGGAGATCTTTTTTAAAGGTTAAATTTTTATTTAATTTTCTGTCTTATAGGGTTTATACTGAGTACAACATTGTATAACTGCAATAAGACCTCAGGAGGGTTTAAAATCAAGTCTACGAGACTGAGAGTGTAGCTTAGTGGTAAGAGTGCTCAGCTAATGTGGGTAAATAGGAGCAAGGCCTTAGGTTTGATTACTAGCAATAAAAAAAGTCAAGTTTAACCTATGATGAAATGTCATATGGTGATTTAAAAAGCAGATTAAGTGGGGTTAGAGAGAGAGCTCAACAGTTAAGAGTACTGGCTGCTCTTGAAGATGACCAGGTTCAATTCCCAACACCCACATGGCGGCTACAAATCATCCTTAATTCCAGCTCCAGGGGAATCCGAAGCGCTCTTCTGACTTCTGAGGCACTGCACGACATGGGTGCACTCACATACATGCAGGCAATACACTCAGACACATAAAATAATAAAATAATTTTTTTAAAAAAGCACAGTGTCCAGCAACGGCCCCATGGGTGGTCACCCGCTTACCTTCTGTGCTGGATAGCTTTAGTGTCAACTTGACACACCTGGGTAGAGGGAGCCTCAATGGGGGAACTTCCTTCATTGGACTGGCCCACATCTGTGGGGCATCTTCTCGATTGTTGAGTGATGTGGTTGGTGCCACGCTGGGGCGGGTGGGTCTGTGTTGTATAAGAAAGCAGGCTAGGCCAGGCTTGGTGGCACAGGCCTTTAATCCCAGCACTTGGGAGGCAGAGGCAGGCGGATCTCTGTGAGTTTGAGGCCAACCTGGTCTCCATAGCGAATCCAGGCCAGCTAGGGCTATAGGGAGACCCTCTCAAAAAGACCAATCAAAAAGACCAAAAAAAAAAAAAAAGAAAAAAAAGAAAAAAGAACAAAAGGAATTTCCTCCTGTTAATGATTACAGGGAAGCTTTTCAGAAGCATCCTGACCTGTGTTGTCTAATGTTGTTATCTAATCCATGTGACTGATTACCTGATGCAAGCAAAATTTAAAATTTAACTCAAGCATGTTTCCAGTGTTCAATGGCACCATGTGACTAGCGGCAACTGTACGGTATATCGCCGTAACTGCAGAGGGTTTTATGGGCTGCTAACTCAGGGGAGGCAGGAGTTACAAAGGGCCAAACAGGCATGTAAGTACCCTGAAACCTTTGGGGACAGATACTGCCATGCTGATGTCAAAACCAACCCATGCTGGACTGATGACCAAGCTTAGACATAAACCTAGCGGAAAAGTCTCCATTTTAAAGTTAAATGAGCAAAACCAAAGGTGATAAGATCATAAGGGACCAACTTAGTTCACCTGAGAGGAAAATTTACCAGTCTTCACTAAAGTACTTAAAACCTTGCCTAATCCTTTAATACCAACTGAGGATTTGAGGTTTCAGAATACAACAGAATTCAGTCATAAATACACTTATGGAAGAATTCATTTATTTAAGAAATACTGAGCACCTTTTATATGCCAAGTACAATGGGAGCCAGTAGGGATCAAAACATTAACCACTAACTCTACTCAGCAAATATCATAATAGCTGAAGATCTGCAAAATCTTAGTAAGAAAAAAAAAAAAAAAAAAAAAACAAATTTTGCAGTCTGTGAACTTGGCAGTTGGTTCTGAGGCTGCAAGAAAGGAGGTAACAACTAGGTATGCCTGGCATATTCTGGGAGTGTCGACCCCTACAGTGCCCAATGCCCATTAATAAGAACCAATGATAATGATTTGGCAGAAAGCTAAGAAAGAAAATTTCCTTCAAAAGGAAAATAACAAATGAACTGACATGCATAGAACCTACAGTAAAGATATAAAAGAGGGCTCAACTCAATGGACTAGTGCTTCCCTAGCATCCATAAGGCCAGGGCTGGGTTCAATCCCCAGTACAGGTGTGGGGTGGGGAGGTGGAGGGGGTATTGCTAAATATATAATCTCAAAGAATACCCTCAGAAGGAAGTAACAAATCAGCATTCATTAAACAATTTCACAACAGAAAGACAAGAGGAACTAAGAGCTTCACAGGTAGACAGTCTCCGTGGTAGTGAGCAATTACAGCGCAAGCAAATGCTCTAAGGGTTTACTGAGGAAACAATGGCTATAGGTTACAAACTGTGAGGTGAGAAGGACTTAAGTGTCTTCTAGTCTATTCTTTCCTTTGTCTTGAGTCAATTCTCCAATACCCTTTGAGACAGATTTTAGCCTGTGTGTACCTGGAGTGAAGGTATCACAACTCAACAGTTTCAAAGCAGTGGAAGAAAGGAGCCAAAAGGAGTTGAAAAGAGGAGTTAGCTTTCAGAGAGATGATGTGGCCAGGAAGTCCCATGAACAGCAAGCAAATACAGTGCTAATCATGAAGCATACAGTAACGGAGTTCCAGTATGGGATGAGACCCACTATGACTCCAATCTGAATGACAAAATAACGGGATGATGTCAAACCATCTCCATCTACAAAAATGCTTGACTCTACAAAAGGAGGTGGAACAAATCAAGGCAAATTCTACTCATCCTGGCCCCTCAGCACCTCTAGCTCTCAAGAGAACTACAAGAATATTTGTTTCCACCTGAAAAGGGACTCGAGCAAAACTTGTCTGTATTTACTCTGTAGCTAGTCTCTGTCAGGCATGGTATGAGGCTTATTTATATATTTATTTTTTAATTCTTGACAGAGTCTCATTATGTAGACTAAGCTGAGCTGAAGCTCACTCAGTAACCCAGGCTGACGAGGAACCGGCAATCTTCCTGCAGAAGCTGGGACAACAGTCACCATACACAGCTGGTGTGCAGTATTTTCATGATGTATCATTTAAGGTATGTAGAGCGTTACTAATAACTGAACCTCCCAGAGATAGGCTCAAAGATTCTGCCTGCCCTAGGATGCCAGTCTATTGTATTCTATAGAGATGCTTGGAGCATAGCTTGCAGAGCAGGAAACACTAGCAGAGACTTGAAGACTGAGGACTAGACAGGGGTTCCGTCCTGATGCTGTGTGACCCAAAAGCCAGTGGCCCTCTCTGGGCATCCATTTCTTAAAATGTATCCCACCTTCCTGGCAGGCTGTTGTTAAGAGTCAAAATGCAGCAACATCTGTAAAAGGATTCGTAAATGTAACATATCATTGGTAGCCATTTATTCATTACCAATCAATAAACATCTATATCGTTCTAGTCTCTAGGGTTACAGCACAAAAAGACAAGCAAAGTCCCTGTCCTCATCAAACGGTCGCAAATAAATAAGTGGGCAGCAGAGGCAAACGCTCTAAAGAAAATAATAAATGAATAGGGATGGCAAGGAAAAGAATGGCCAGGGACATGATGGAATGGTTACAGAAGGCCTTACTCCCACCACAGCTGAGATCACAGACCTCACCAAGTTAAAGAGCTGGGGAAAGAAGTGCACAGGGAAAAGGAACAGAAAGAGTCACATGTCTGAAGTGAAAGGACGAGGCATGCCTGAACCCAGCAGAGTAGAGCAGCAGGAGACAAGGCTGTGGAACTAGACAGAGTCAACGGCAGGATGGTCTCACACGTCTACAAAGGATAGTCTCACTACCAAAAACCATTTTTTTAATTTTCAATACAGCCTAGTAAATCAAGCCATTATGTAAATAGCCACTGCACATGTTTTCAAAAGTAGGGTGCCGACTAGAGAGCTGGCTCAGCAGTTAAGGGCTTGTACTGCTTTTGCAGAAAACCGGGGTTTCATTCCCAGCAACCATATCTGGCAACTCACAACTGCCTGGAACTCCAGCTCAAGGAGGATCCAATGCCCTTGGCCCCTGGGGGCATCTGGACTCACGTGCACATGTACACGTAATTTTTTAAAATCTCTCTCTCTTTCTCCCCCCAACCCCTCCCCCAACAGGTCTCACTGTGTAGTTGAGGCTGGACTTGAATTCACAATTCTCCTGTCTTTGCCTCCCAAGTCCTGACAGGCATGTGTCACCAGGCCTAGCTGGACACTTCCAAGTTTGAACAAAGCTATTGACAAGAAATAAGATCCCTATACAGAGGTCCCTATACATAAGCTGTTCTTACAAATTTTCTTTAGCTGAATATAGAATCCCAAGTAGTCACAATCTCTTTATGGAAGTAACATAATTATAAAATTTGAGTTAATAGATTTAAAGTTTCTGATAAATTAATTCATTCAGTAAATATGTATCAAGCACCTAACAAGTGGCAAGCATGCTCCAAGCACAAGATACAGCAATTTAAAAATCAGTAATGATTTAACAACTGAGCAGATATGCCCATGTGTCATAATACAAGAACTGAACCTCAACTTATTTAATGTCTTGCATTTCCTGAAACAAGGTTATAGGCTGGGTCACATGTACCTGTCAGAAAACAAACTTACCAAGGAATTCTTAATCACTTCACTTCTATAAAATTCTGGAAAAGAAGAAAAAGAACAATAAGTGAAATGTACGAAAATGAGCTCATCAACTAAATCCTGTAAATTTGTGAACACATTCCAGTAAAGCACTTTCAAGAGACCTGGTTCCTCTGTTATCTTTACCTATAAAAAGAAATGAATAAAAATTTAAAAAACAAAGATCAAATAAAAGTTTTAAGTAGGAAAAACATCAGTGGAGCAGGTTATAAGTTTTTCAAATTTAATTTTATAATTGATACCTGTCTCCTTTCAGAACACATTTCATTAGAGCCCTTAAAAACATGTGTACATAGATGTGTACATGAGTATATGCGTATGTGGGGGAGGTGCGCATGTGGGCATCTGTGGGTATGTGGGAGCGTCCGTGCATATGTGTAAAACTGAGTTTGTCAGGGGTCTTCCTCAATCATTCTTCCACCTTCTTCTTTTGAGGCAGGGTCTCTCAATCAAACCCAGAGCTTGTCAACAAGCTTCTTACTAGCCAGCTTGCTCCAAGGGTCCTCCCATCCTTGCCTTCCAAGACTGGAGTTACAGGTGGGCCACCATGCCCAGCCAGTACTTACATGGGCTCTGGGGATCCAAACTACAGTCTTCTTGTTTGTGCAGCAAGTACTTTAACTGCTAGTCATCTCCCCAGTCCCCATTTCCACATTTATAAGTGATTCTATCGGGCTAGAGAGATGGCTCAGTGGTTAAGAACACTGGTTATTCTTGCAGAAGACCCAGGTTGGATTCCCAGCACTCACATGGTGGCTAACAACTGCCCATAACTCCAGTTCCAGGGGAATTCGACGCCTTCTTCTGACCTCCCTGGGCATTGCATGATACAGGTGCACTTACATACATGCAGGCAATATACTCAATACACATAAAATAAAAATAAATTTTAAAAAATTTAGAAAAAAAAATAAGTGATTCTATCTACTCTGTTTTTCTTGACCATCTCTAAAGGCATTCCCTCAGAGCCCTGAGGGATAAGTACTGACTGACCTAGCAACCAAGTGACCTAAGCTTTACTTCTCTACCTGTCCTTAATGTTCCATCTCTTCAATTCATTAGGCTCATTTCTTCACTAGACAACTCGGAGAATTTGCATAACTGAAGGTCTTCTGTAAGCATCAAAATTTCATGATTCTATAAACCTTCATATATGTTAGTAAATGTTAGAAAAACTGAAAACAAAATAAACATATGCTAGAGGTTCTGACAGACATTCCCAACAACCCTCCAATGTTCCACTGCCAACTGCCCAATTTACCTCCATGCTCCTCTTCCTGCAGAGCCTACAGGACTCGTGTGGCCTCCTGCTGTTACAGGGTAATTATTTCCCAAGAGTGGTGTGCACACCACTAGCACTTAAGAGGATCTGAGGTGACACAGAGACTTTTCTCTACTAAATTGAAACACACATCTCCCTGTAACAGTAGGCCCCTAACAGTAGTCACGTCTGTCTCATACAACTGCCATCTATGTCCTGGCACAAGGTCAACACTCAACTAATTTTGTTTTTACTGAATAAACAATCTCAAAGATTATACTTTGACATAAGTTTCAAAACAATGCTTAGAGAAGGCAACTGAGGACATAACAGCACAGAGAAAGTAAATGTGGGGAACCATGCCAAGGCAACACACTAATGTCGCATGTCTAGAGTGCTTGGTCGGGGGAATGACACGACACCTGAACCTAGACAAAATTCTCACAAGAAAGCTCTCCTGTTCAGGCATTTCTTAGCAACCATACTACCTACATAACTATACTTGTTTCCCAAACAAAAAGCAATTATTCTATTTTCTGAGACATAATCACAGTGTAAAAGTGAAAAAACAGGTCCCAAAAGAGGATTTATAACAGGATTCAAATTTTTCTAATATTGCTAACAATATTTATCTTGGGTAACAGTTTGGACTACTTAAATTCACTAGCTGAATGCCAGTTTTAATTTTTTTCTGTAATTGTTTTTAAATTTAAAAAAGGAAAATTATAATTTTTTAAAAAGAATGTCCTGAAGTTGCTATAAGTTTTGGAATCTTTCAAATAATGCTAGAAATAATCTTTTAAAGATGTATGCCCTAGGGCTGGAGAGCTGGCTCCTCAGTTTAGAGCACTGGCTGCTCTTACAGAGGACTAGGGTTCCCAGCACCCATGTGGCAGCTAACAAGCACCCATAACTCCAGTTCCAGGGGATCTGACACCCTCTTCTGGCCTCTGTAGGCACTGCACAACATGGGTGTCACATGCAGGCAAAATACTCATACACATTAAAAAAAAATGTTTGAAAAGATGTATACGCTAAATTGTGTGACTCTCAGGGAAAAATCTTTCACAACAAAATAGGTCAAAGAACGAATACAGTCTATGACAGACAATACCAAACTGCTCTTTGAAAGTATTGTAAATTTATTATCATTTATGGAAACATCTATTTTCCCAGTACTGCACAACTTTAAGTATTCTTTTCATTTATTCTCAAATGTTTAATCAAGTACCACAACCACTAATTACAAGCCACGTAAGTATACATGGACACATGCTCCAACATAGGCGCACCATACTTTTCTTTCTGGAAAAAAAATTAAAAACAGGATTTAGTTTATTGTTTTATGGCTCTGTTTTGTGGTGGTGTGTTTTTGTGCTGCTGGGAATCGAACCCTGAGAGGACCTCGTGCACACAAAGCAAGCACTCTACCACCAAGCTATGCTCCATTCTAAAAGCATTTTTTAATAACAAGGTTTTTTTTAGTTTCTATTTAATACAGTTGTATTGCTTTAAAATGAGTGAAAAACTGGATTGGAGATATGGCTGAGTGGTAAAGCACTTGTCTGGTTTGCATGAGGCCCTGTTCAATCTCCATAGGGTTTCAAACAGCAGCAGCTTCCCCCTTCCCCAACAGGGTCCTATGGACTTTGGATTTTTCAAGCCTGAAAAAGGGAACTGAGCTTGATCTTTGAAGTCAAGAGAAGCAGACTTTTCTCCACTGTTTGGCCAACACAGCAGGCTTCCCCTTTGATCTCTAAAGAGAACAGGTTTTAACAGTCCCACTCTCCCACTTCCCCCTACCCAACTTTTAAAAAAATACATCTTCCATCTTCCTGCAGGAAGCAGAAGCCCCCATTTTTAAAAGACCCCAGCTCAGGACACGGGCAGACATTTTCCCTGCCCAGAAGGGAATCTGTCCCATGTGTTCCAACCCAACTTAAAAAAAAATACATCTTCCTGCATTGTGCAAGAAGCAGAAGCCTCAAAAGACCCAAGCTCATGACCCAGGCAGACGTTTTCCTTGCCCAGAAGGGAATCTGTCCCATGTGTTCCTTTGCTAATAAACCCTATTTTGATGGAGTTTTATCTATGTCCTGGTGCCTCCTCCTCCATTCGCTTGTTCTCTGCCAACTTTTTACCTATCATCCAGTACCATAAAAAAATAAAATCAGTGAAAACCCAACAGATGTTTCTCTCTCTCTCTCTCTCTCTCTCTCTCTCTCTCTCTCTCTCTGTGTGTGTGTGTGTGTGTGTGTGTGTGTGTGTGTGTATGTGTGTGTGTTTGAGACAAGGTCTCCCTAGTATTGCTATATAAACTAGGCTGGCCTCAATCTTACAGAGATCCACCTGCCTCTGCCTCCTGAGTGCTGGGATTAACGGCATGCATCACCAAACATGCTATCTCTTCTGCACCTAAAGCTTCTTGGCAGTATTTGACAAACTCTTAAAACTTCTAAGTGAAGGTCGCCACATCAATGGGCTGTTTCACTCTTTTGAGAAAAAGAATTCCTTAGCTTAATTTGCAGAGTATCTAATTAAACAGTTTTCACACTATCCCTCTCCACTTCTAAAAAAGTGAATAGTATTATTTCTTCCAAAATTTTGTTGAGTGGCTGACTGTATGAAAAAGCCAAACTAAACAATCTGCCTTCTCCATTAGTCTCATAAAATGGACAGGCTACTTTAAATGAACAGAGTTCAACAAAAGGGCCATATTTGTAAAGAAATTACTGCATATGAGAGAATTTCTAACAGGCTAAACTTGAACCTACACTTTCATTCTGTTACATCAAAAATAACAAAATTATCAACAGGATTCAAAAACAAATAGCAAAGTTTGAGAGTAAAAAAATAGTTTCAGTCCACATCTATCGTACCTAAGATTTATGATCCTACACAGATCAACTGTTTCTTTACCTTCCCAAGAGTAACACCCAGGAAATATCAGAGTTGTTATGAGGCTCAAATAAAATACTAAATTAAAAACACTTCATGAGCTCGGCACAGTAGCACACATCTTTAACCCAGCACTCGGGAGGCAGAGTCAGGCAGATCTGTGAGATTGAGGCCAGCCTGGTCTACATAGAGCATTCCAGGTCAGCTGGAACGGTCTCAAAAGGAAACCCAAAAAACAAAAACTAAAAAATCAAACACCTCAGGCTCATGAACTATACTTTTTATTAATAAAATTTTATTAAATTTTATTCATTCCATTTTAGTCAAGTCATGTGACAAGTAGGTCTTCAGAAAGGCATCATCCAAGTCTCATCTCCACACAGACTACTGGATGCGGATGGCTTTTCCAGATATCCTGCAAAGTCCTAAAGAAACAGCAATTGAGAGACTGGGGCACAGTGCCAATGGCATGTTGTGACTGTTATGCCACATTCCATTCATTCAATAAATGCTTTATTGAGCCTCAACCTCACTCATAAGAGGAGAAATACAAGTTTAACCTACCCTGCAAAACTGTTTTTCATCTATCAGACTGGCAAAAATTCAATAGTTTGCATAGTCTACTGGTAAGGCTACAGGAAAAAAGGTAACCACATATTATCTACCAAAATAAACACCCTCTCTGACCCAGTAATTCCACTTCCTAGAATGTACCCTTAGAGGTGTACTAATACTCATACAAAATAATGTAGTCTTAAAATTAGTCAGTGTAACAAGAGATCAGAACAGCCTAAATGCCCACTAACAGGAGCCAAGTGGGAAACTACAATGCAGCTAGTC